CCATGCTGCTCTCCCCTCTGATGCTTACCCAGACCTTTCAACAGGTCTCTCTTCCACTTTTTACTGCATGTTGCATACTGCAACCTTTTTCTCTTTGTGACAAAACTCCATTATGTTTCACAATACAGAGGCTGTAAGAATTACCTAATCTGCCATTTAAAAATACCCTAAAAATCAACCATTGCTCTTCCAAAACCCTATGTTAGCTGACGAGGGATTATTTCAGATGTCACCCTCCCTATCCCAGAATACAGTCTATTATTCTGAAGATTTTACATCAAAAGCTATTTAAAGTTTTAACAGAGTCAAACTAGAGTCAGTGTCTATCTGGTGTAAATAGAGTTCCACTGAACCTAATCTTACCTTAAAGGAGTAAAAGCAAACATGCTAGCACTGTATGGAACCTTAAGGCATGTCCAGATGAGCAGGAATGTATGTTTCCCTGGGGACAAGTAGCAGCGGCACACCTCGTGCACTGCTGCTACTCAACTCCAAGGAACTCCCATTCCACATGCACTCTGATGCATGGCAGATTACCCTGGGTGGAGTAGCGGAGCTTGGTGCTGCACTCCCATTGTGTACTAGATGTAAGTTAAAGTTCTTCTCTGAGCTCTGGTGAACCAGACTTGGCAGATTTACAAAGGAAAACAGTATAATGACAGTCCTTTCAATGGTTTAGAAACATTACTCATTTGCAGAAAGACAGTTTTCTAAAGGATAGAACATGCATCACATCAGATGCTTTACAGCCTGACTATATATCTTATTTGAATTGATGATATACCCTAAACTAGCCAGCCACACCATTTTCCTAAGTGGTAGCACAATGGAAATAAGTTTCTTGGCAGCTGGTTCTGAGAGAAATTAAGCTGGAGTAAAAGTGTCATTCAGAAGAATTGCCTCAATGATTATTTTGCTAGCTTAATCAGAAACAGAGAAGAAACAGTTCAAATTATTAGATGAGCATATCTTTTTCCAGACAAACTTTCTAGAGATAGCCATAGACCTTCACAGAATTGTGCTCTGGAGTTATCCATGGCTGTAAACAAAAACCCTGGAGATGAAATCTTGATTCAACTAAAGTCACTAGAGTCAAGATTTTACTTAGGGCTTTTACTGCTATTTGGAAGCTGCATTGGTTGAGGTTTATAGGCAAAGTTAATCAAAATTAAGCCTCTAAAAGTAACTAAGAAACAATACAATTGTGAAAAAAATTAAGATCAAAATACTTCTCCAAACAAATGCACTCAAAATTTTATCAAAATAAGTTTAAGAATATATCAAAAGTTTAAGAATACATTTTCATTATGCCTCTCAGTTAAAAAAGGATTTGTAGCTCAGCAGCTGTATTATGTCATTTTTCTTAAAATTCAGTCTTGAGAGAAGACAAAAGAGACATGGCCTGAACAGAGAACAATCTACAAAGTACAGTGTACATCAATACACATACAGAATGGTGTATAGCATTGTAGTTTGCGAGTAGATAACTGCATGTGGCCTTTGGATTCTGCATTTGAATAGGAAGGAAATGATTCTATATTAAATTAGAAGTAGAGTGGACAATTTGGGAAGAATAAATATAGTTATCCATGCTGGGATACTTAAGGAAAGTAGATTGTCTGTTAAAGACCAAAAATGGTATGCTTTATCTGTCTTCTGAAAACTGACAGATGGCGACCTCTAAAACCATGGAAGCATTGTTTCAGGATTATCTCTGATACAATAGGACAGGTTTCCCTCGCTTTATGCTGTACATGTGTTCCTGGAAAACAGTACGTAACTCGACTTTGCTCAAAGGGAACCCACTTTACAACGTAACAAAAAGGGATACATTCCAAGACCTGGACTGTACTGACCCCCAGACCCATTTCTACCACTTTTACAGGACAATTTTGGTACTCACCAACAGCAGACAGGACACACAAGCACAGGGTGGTAGAGAGGATAGTGAAGGGTCTTTAGTGTCAAACTCCACATCACTGGTAGGAGGTACAGGCAGGGTAACATCCATAGGAGATAAGCAAGAGGGATTCTAAGAAGACAGGGATGACAACCACAGAAACCCGTGTTGCAGACAAGAGAGGAGCACAGATCCACACAGGAGACAATAATTTGGTGCACATCACTCCCACAATGCACTGCACAAAGCAGCTGACTGTGGGCTTCCACTGCACCAATCGCATAAGAGTGAATTTACCTCAGATGGAATGAATTTTTGGTATAAACAGGGTCATCGCGTAAGAGTGAATTCGCACAGACAGAACCCGCATAAAGAGAGGAAAACCTGTATTGCCTGTTAAGAATCACAAGGACCATTTATTTCTCTCAACACTTGTTGCCTTCTCTACAGCAGTTGGGTTCCTCCTGTCCAACAGTGAACCACTCAGCTCTACTTGGCTTTGAGATTTGATGGGTCATAGTTTCTTTCATATCCCAGTTTGAGGGATTCGTGGGTAAGAATACCCATAACATTTACTCACAGGAAGATGGGGTATTAAATGTGCGCATGTGTATAGTTTTCCTTTTCTCTCACAGATCATTAACATGTCATTGATGAAAATACGTCAGAATGCAGTGTTGGCCATTAATGCTTCCTTTTGAATTTGACTGTGTATTTTCTTTGTAATTTATGTTTATGTTCTAAAATATGCCCAAAACATATTTCAATTTCATTTTTTCTGCAAATTAGGCAACATAAGTGCTGGACCAAAAATATATTTTAAAGTCGTCTTTACTATAGAAAATGACCACCTTATAAATGATGGTGGCTTTACCAGTTTGTACTTTAAGCAGAGCTAATATTAATAGAGTGTCATTCATTAATATTAATGAATGACACTTTAGTATCTATCTCAGAGAAGTTACGTTATCAATATGTGCTCCTACTTCAGACTCTGGGTTTTTTAATATTATGGGAGATTATAGAGATTTATTTTAAAGTGAATTGTAGAGAGATTTAAAAAATAGGTACTTTTCCCAATCTGCCATCACTTTGTGCCTTTCTGATAGCTTGCCTTTTCTCTGTCTCTCTCCTTGCATTTTCTTTGGGTGTTTAACAGTTCCCTCAGGATAAGACCAATTATTTATGACATACTTCTCCATGTAAGATTTATTTGGGAAAACTGTTCCTATGGAAACTGCTGTTTTCAAACAGGGTTGTACTAACTTCAAACAATAGGACTGAATACACAATAGAAGAAACATCTTATGTTAGCAGGCATATTCTAATGACTTTGACAACTACACTAAACTGCCCAGAAAGGAACAAAATGAGGTGTATTCTGTAATACGATCAAGGAGGTGTTCAGCCGTCAGCTGGTAACTACAGGGAATTAGATTAGCTCTGTTCATTTAAGAAAGTTGAGTTTGAAGCTCTCTCAAAGCTTCAAAAAAAAGCTTTAAAAGACATCAGTCAGAAATCTGCACTGGTAAGTCTGGGATGCGATGTCTTGAAAGACATCATGTGTATTAATTACGGAAAGAACCCCGGAGGGGTCTGTTTCAGGAATGTCAAACTAAATGTGCACAAAATACATGCTCTGTAAGGCCTTTGCACAAAAATAAATATGTAGGTCTGGCCTCTACCTTCATTGGAGTTCTGCAGCAGCAGAATCAAGTTTGTAACAATTACATTTGCTATACACCTTGTTTTGTTGATTGCTCTCTGTTCCAATCATGTTTCCTTTGTCTTCTCTTCAAGGTAGCACCGTAAGCTAAATGGTGCACAGTGCAGCTGCTGAACTACAATGCCTTTCTAATCAGGTTATTAAGGCAAATTCATTCCTTTATCTGTTTGTTTTAAGAACAGAAAAAATATTTTCCTTCAAAAAAATTCAGCCATTGCTCTTAGAACAAAATGTTATTAATTACCATGGCAATATTTTTAGAGTTTGTAGAGCTGTGATATCTTGCCTTTAGTCAGGAACAGATGTGGATAGTAGCCTGCAGCCTGGAAAGAGAGCTACTGCCCTAATGCAATCTGTAATTCCCCTTTGGGAAAGTGGGGAAGCTATTGATTTAAGTACAAAGGCATCCAGAGCTACCTTTAGCTCAGGCAGATTCTTAACACCTGTTTAGGTGAGTCATCATGTATCAAAGACTCAGAAGAAATACATCCTATGCCTTTCCACGCTGGAAATATATTCTCAACCAACAGGCCTGTCTTCATCATTTAAATGATAACTTGAGGGCTCCTCATTTTCAGAATCAATGAATTCTACCAAGGATTAATCCAGACTCTAAAATAAATTGCAAAAAAAATTAGCAAGCGAGATGTGGGAAAGAACTACATGATGATGACTAGATCCTGGGGTAGCAGGAAACACCTTCAGTTTCTAATTACCATATTTTAAATAAAAGAAGAAGAAAGAATAAATAGTGCCTTTAAACTGCTGAAATCCAAATCCATCCAAATCATTAGCAGTTAAAAAATGTATATTTTTAAAAAATTGAGATTGGGATTATGCACCCTGTAGGAGGTAATGTTTTCAGGCTGTTCTCTGCTACCATGAGAGCTATAGATTTTCATGTAAATCACATAACTCAAGCTTTCCAGGCTTGATTGGCAGTTCCCTCTGCATTTGCCCAAATTTCACATTAAGACTCAGATAAAGGGTCTTTGAAATGCAAACCCCTGCATCTAGTATCAGCCGGCATAAGAAAACTTACTACACAGGGCAGAGGGAGACCAGAGTCATCATGGCCTGTAAATGACTGAAGTAACTGTCTTCTATTCTGGGTTAATGAAGACAAGGGAGGGATTGGTACAAGAAAGGATCACCCTAGTGATAGCCTTCTGGGATATCTACTGTTTTTTTTAACCTGGTATGTGTGAAGCCTCAGCCTCACTATAGCTTGTACGTACACTGAATAGGTCACTGTCAATCCATTATCCAGTGGCAGTGATTTCTCTCCTTTCGGACCAGATTCTACTCTCCTTACTCATGCTAAGTCATGCTTATCCCTGCCTACTTCCAGGTTAGAAAAAGTATTTCCTTTACCTTCAAAGGGCTATCCTCAGTTGTGAGGACCCATAGGAAGAGAAGAGGTTACTGGTCATTTGTCTAGAAAAAGAGAAGATAAAGCATCCATCATCC